TGTGTGTGGGTGTGTGATTTCACTTGGTCGATTTTTGATGGGTTTTATTTCGAAAAGACTAGAGAAACAATCCACTGAAACACCTTTAGAATTTATTTTTCCAGTCAAAATTAGGAATGAAGTGACATTTTTTTATTGTCATCAATTGAATTTAAAGGCCGTTTACACCTTTGCTGTTTGTTTGCTGTGCTTTAAAGATTTTGTAGCGATTGGCTTGATTGTCTGGCGTAGGCCTGCTAACCCGATGCTTAACCTTCTCTGTTTTCCAGGGCTTAGGAATAGCTAGTAAGGCAAGGTCAGAGCATTACTCACTGGACTACGAGGGTTTCTGCTGCACACTGAAGATCAGAAGATCGGTCAAAAAGGATGAACAACGAGGGGTCAGCCAAGGGCCAAAGATGCACGCTGAAGAGATCGTTGAGGGACATCGGGAGCCAGGCCGTAGAGTGAAACGAGTTCAGTGTGGATTCAAGAATGACATGGAGGACACAGTATGAGAAGGAGATAAAAGTTTCCAGCCTTTCATGGAGCCGTATAAAAAATAAAGACTTCAAAGAACATAATGAAATACTGATGCGCGGCTGAAGCGTCAGTGATTTAAGAGGAAAATAATCGATAATTAATACACCTCATAAATTCCTTTCATCTCTTGTGTCAGTAATTCCATATTAGTTTGTTCATTAGATGAATTACACACTGTCACATAAACAGTATTAGTATTTACTGGATGATGACACAGGTTCGAACAAAATTCATTATTGCTGTTCATAATCATTTCATCAATTGTAATCACACGACTTTAAAACTTGAGTTTTATAGTTTTCTTTACTGCTTCCCTAACTGTCGTCATTGGGCTAGTAGAACTTTCCAGATATCCGGCTGAACAGGTGTTGAATCATTCCTATTACATGTATTCACTCTCAGTTGATTCGACAGACAAAGCTTCTGTTATCAATCTCTCTCTCTCTCTCACTCCATCCAGCTGTGACATTAGATTTTGAAACTGTCGTCTTATCCCATCCTATTGTAGGGTTGTGTGTAATTGCATGTCATGTAGTGCTACCTACGGCTGATCTATTCTCTAGATTTCTTATCTTATTCGGGTCAATCAATCTAGATTTTGCTGCAAGAACTTTATGCTTGGCTAGTCTGACTAACTGCCTCTGTTCTACTAGTTTGACCTATGTATTTGACCTGACAATCATTCCAGCAGGCAGGGTATTAGACAAACTAAATTGTTTTGTCTTAAAGGCTCCAGAGAATTGATCCTTCAACTGACAAAGCTTGTTTCTAATTGAATTTGTGGTGGGTTTGAATGCCACTTTTATTCCTAATGTCACAGGGTGGATGGAGGGAGAAATTGATAACAGAAGCTTTGTTTATCGAATCGACTGAAAATACATGTAACAGGAATGATTCAACACTTGTCCAGCCAGATATCTGGAAAGTTCTACTACCCCAATGACGATGACAAATAGGAGGGAATAGAGAAGACTATGAAACTCAAGTTTTGAAGTCGTGTGATTCTAATTGGTGATATGATTATGAACAATAATTTGTGTTCGAACCTGTGTCATCTAGTAAATACTAATACTGTTCATGTGACTGTGTGATACATCTAATGAACAAACCAATATGAAATAACTTACTACCACCACAGTGCCCAAATTTTACACATATATTAATCGGGTGTCAGTAATTCAAACCCACAGAATACACAGTTTAAGTTAACTCTAGCTGGTAGCTGAATCGGAATATTATTTTCGCAGACTTGTGCTTATCTAAGCTCTATCGTTACTTGGAATCGATCATACGATTATTTTATTCTACTAAATAAACTGACTTTATGTAAGTGAACACAAATAAAGTAGGGTGGGTATCAGCTGTTTCTTACACTTGCTGTTATTACTTCATAGTAGTGCGAATCAATAAGTATACACATAGAACCGATCAGCGTGTTTAAGGACGTCGAATTCACGTGAAAACAAAAGTCGGACAACAAAATTCCTTACTTAGATCTCAAACAAGTCTTGGGAACAAGTACAGGAAATCTATCTATATACTTAAGTAAACAGGAAGTTAGTAGACCAAATAATCAATTACAACAGGTATAATCCAGCGGTACAAGAAAAAAAGAACTGTATACAGGCATTATTTGAACGTGTCAAGACACATTGCAAAAACTCAGTCTTCTGGACAATAGGAGATAATAAAAATATCTCTTGACCGTCTTCAAGAGAAATGGGTATTCTTACAACTTGTTCAAAATATATCCACAGTCAAATCAAACAAGTAACAAAATCCATTCCAGGAAACCACAAGAAAACTCATTCTATTATATAGGAAGAATATTGTTGTAATCACTGCTGGAATACTCAGGCCGTTCGGTACAGATCTCGTACACAGATCAAACAATCAAAAGATCACCACCATATACAAGACAGATTATATAAACTGCGAAGAACACTATTTTATTCAAGGTGGACGTTGTCTTTAACTCCTCATCCAAGAACATAAACTAGCCGTTAGAAGACATAACACTTATTTCTTCATATCAGTACATATTGAAAACCACGAATACGACACCAACTGTGAAGGCGTAGAAATTTAAAACGGTGGAAGTATTAAAAAAAAAATACCAGGGAATTCCTCTACCTTTACAACATCAACCTTTATTGTTATTGTATTTCTTATATTTATAATCCTATCAATTTTTTGTTTTTATTTATTTATTTTTCATAATTGTGAACATCGTTTAAGCTGTGTCACCACTGTTATTCTTGTATTTCTCCTCACTATACTAAATCAGCAGAACATTAGATTCAATACTCTATAGTAACATGCTAAAATTTTCAAACTGAATCGACAATACTGTTTGAAACAAACTCACTGTTATTATTATTACTATTATTATTATTATTATTATTATTATTTAATGATCTCAATTCGTGCTTCGAATATTTTTGATTTTATATCGTAAGCGTGGACCAATTCCTCTGGTTACCCTTGTTTTAATTTTTAATTTTATTTATATTTTAAGTAAATCAGATGCAAGGTGTTGTGACAAATGCTGAGAATTCCATCCTGTATTATAAGTACTGTTTTTGGAATAAAGTAAAATAAATTATTAAATTATTGTTATTATTTGATGATATTAGATGGTTAGCGGAAATCGGCCACAGGAAGCCCTACCTGACGTAGGTTTCGAGCTAGTTGGCACTCACTAGTCAGTCAGCAAGGCAGGCGTATCTGCAACCTTGAAGGAACAGCTCATGTCTCTTCTGAGGTTCGAACCCGTACTAACCAGTGTTGCACTCAGAAATGTTACCAGTGGGATATTCGAGCACTTTGCATTAGTTTAGGCTTACTAGTTCGAATGTCTGTTGCCTCATTTATACGTCCGTAGTAGACGAATAGAGAGTCCATCGGTGGGATGCGATGAATCACCTTGAATGCTTTCGCTTTCTCCACTAAATGTTGCACAAATGGGATACGCATGACTTTTGTCTGTCCATTGTCAAACCACAAATTTATTGTTCATAATCATATCAATTGTTCGAAAATTCATCCAATAAATAATACTCCTTCTGTGACTGTGTTACATCTAATAAACAAACTGATGTGTAATTGCTTATTACCACAGTGCCCAAGTTTTACACATATATTAGTAAATCGCATGGTTAAACGAAACGCCTACATCTATATAAATGACATGTGCAAAAATAACACACACACACACACACACACACGAAAATGCAAACCACATGAATCCGATGATAACACTTTAGAACACTGTAAATTATCCAACGAAAAAGTTTATTCAAGCAGTTTACGTAACATAGTTGGACATAAAACAAAAATGTTTTCGTTTTCTCCCAACTAGTTCAGAAAACGCAGAATTGGTTCAAACAGACTTGATCCATTACCGTCTATATAAATAAAAGAAATGAATTGATTAGGTGAATATATCATATTAGTTTCACCTACTTACCTTTTCCGAATTCTGTTTCTTATCCGGCTCATCACTCTACCAAAACGAATCCGAATCCGATTAAATGCCACGATCAAACCGAGTGACGATAAGATATGAAGAATCCATATCCACCAAACCACAGACTGTGTGTACATTAATGGCATTTTGAAAAAATGATTCATTCTGCATCGCATTCGTATTTATAATTTACTTTTTGATGAGCATAGCTCACATCACGAGGTCATAGTTGTTTGAAGTAAAATTAACCAATAATAAAAAGTGGGCAGTATAGTGATCACAATTCACATCTATTCAAGTCGTTATTGATTTGTCTAGAAGGCAGAATTAAATCTACTCACACTGGGCACCTGTTATAAAATCAACAACTAATATGACTAATAAATACATTTATCACCCATAATGAATTGGTTATTCAGCTAAGATATGTGTTAATTACATGACAACGATTCCTTATGTATTTCATTATTATTCAGATTGCATACAGCTAGCTACCGAAACAAAAATCTTCATACAATTGCAGTACAGATTGAGTGACAAGGTCATCTAATCCCCTCCCTATACATCAGCGTACATACATCTCACTTTGATTAGTTAGACACTAGTAACTAGTGTGGTGTGTCTAGTCCTTTGCTTGATGTAAACTGAATTCTGTCAGTCAATCAGGTTTGCAATGTGGCTGCCATGCCACTAGGTGGTTGCTGGCTAACCATCACGGTACACTGTAAATCGTTGGTATTAGATGGTTGAAGGCATGGCTACAGTACTCACTGGATGACGCGGGTTTGAATCTGAGAGGGGACATGAGCTGTTCCTTCAGTGTGATTGCAAATACGCCTTTCTGACTGATGATTACCAAACTAGAAGGTTTCCTGTGCCCGACTGCCTCCAACCGTCTAATACCAACAAATCTGAATGGTGTTACAAACACAGACATACTTCCTTGTAAAGGGGAATTGATGAATCAACGGGGTGAAATGAATGTAAGGCTGAACGTTGTTTCACTTTTATGCAACAAAACGTGTATGTATGTATGTATGTATGTATGTATGTATGTATGTGTATATATATACACGCATAACTGTTACTTGAAAAGTGCCGAGGATTGTAGTTGCCTTCTAGATAAACCAGTTTCACTGAACCACAGAATATTTGAAGAAATCAATAATTGCTGTTGAAGCAAGCAAACTGACTGTTTTCAAGGCGTTAACTACTCATTCTCCCTCTCTCTCTCTCTCTCAACAGTATGTCATATTGTGTTCATACTTTGATAATATTGAAGTGAATAGAGTAAAATCTGTTGTGTGTGTGTGTGTGGGTGTGTGATTTCACTTGGTCGATTTTTGATGGGTTTTATTTCGAAAAGACTAGAGAAACAATCCACTGAAACACCTTTAGAATTTATTTTTCCAGTCAAAATTAGGAATGAAGTGACATTTTTTTTATTGTCATCAATTGAATTTAAAGGCCGTTTACACCTTTGCTGTTTGTTTGCTGTGCTTTAAAGATTTTGTAGCGATTGGCTTGATTGTCTGGCGTAGGCCTGCTAACCCGATGCTTAACCTTCTCTGTTTTCCAGGGCTTAGGAATAGCTAGTAAGGCAAGGTCAGAGCATTACTCACTGGACTACGAGGGTTTCTGCTGCACACTGAAGATCAGAAGATCAGATACACGCTGAAGAGATCGTTGAGGGACATCGGGAGCCAGGCCGTAGAGTGAAACGAGTTCAGTGTGGATTCAAGGATGACATGGAGGAGATATTATGAGAAGGAGATAAAAGTTTCCAGCCTTTCATGGAGCCGTATAAAAAATAAAGACTTCAAAGAACATAATGAAATACTGATGCGCGGCTGAAGCGTCAGTGATTTAAGAGGAAAATAATCGATAATTAATACACCTCATAAATTCCTTTCATCTCTGGTGTCAGTAATTCCATATTAGTTTGTTCATTAGATGAATCACACACAGTCACATAAACAGTATTAGTATTTACTGGATGATGACACAGGTTCGAACAAAATTCATTATTGCTGTTCATAATCATTTCATCAATTGTAATCACACGACTTTAAAACTTGAGTTTTATAGTTTTCTTTACTGCTTCCCTAACTGTCGTCATTGGGCTAGTAGAACTTTCCAGATATCCGGCTGAACAGGTGTTGAATCATTCCTATTACATGTATTCACTCTCAGTTGATTCGACAGACAAAGCTTCTGTTATCAATCTCTCTCTCTCTCTCACTCCATCCAGCTGTGACATTAGATTTTGAAACTGTCGTCTTATCCCATCCTATTGTAGGGTTGTGTGTAATTGCATGTCATGTAGTGCTACCTACGGCTGAACTATTCTCTAGATTTCTTATCTTATTCGGGTAAATCAATCTAGATTTTGCTGCAAGAATTTTATGCTTGGCTAGTCTGACTAACTGCCTCTGTTCTACTAGTTTGACCTATGTATTTGACCTGACAATCATTCCAGCAGGCAGGGTATTAGATAAACTAAATTGTTTTGTTTTAAAGGCTCCAGAGGATTGATCCTTCAACTGACAAAGCTTGTTTCTAATTGAATTTGTGGTGGGTTTGAATGCCACTTTTATTCCTAATGTCACAGGGTGGATGGAGGGAGAAATTGATAACAGAAGCTTTGTTTATCGAATCGACTGAAAATACATGTAACAGGAATGATTCAACACTTGTCCAGCCAGATATCTGGAAAGTTCTACTACCCCAATGACGATGACAAATAGGAGGGAATAGAGAAGACTATGAAACTCAAGTTTTGAAGTCGTGTGATTCTAATTGGTGATATGATTATGAACAATAATTTGTGTTCGAACCTGTGTCATCTAGTAAATACTAATACTGTTCATGTGACTGTGTGATACATCTAATGAACAAACCAATATGAAATAACTTACTACCACCACAGTGCCCAAATTTTACACATATATTAATCGGGTGTCAGTAATTCAAACCCACAGAATACACAGTTTAAGTTAACTCTAGCTGGTAGCTGAATCGGAATATTATTTTCGCAGACTTGTGCTTATCTAAGCTCTATCGTTACTTGGAATCGATCATACGATTATTTTATTCTACTAAATAAACTGACTTTATGTAAGTGAACACAAATAAAGTAGGGTGGGTATCAGCTGTTTCTTACACTTGCTGTTATTACTTCATAGTAGTGCGAATCAATAAGTATACACATAGAACCGATCAGCGTGTTTAAGGACGTCGAATTCACGTGAAAACAAAAGTCGGACAACAAAATTCCTTACTTAGATCTCAAACAAGTCTTGGGAACAAGTACAAGAAATCTATCTATATACTTAAGTAAACAGGAAGTTAGTAGACCAAATAATCAATTACAACAGGTATAATCCAGCGGTACAAGAAAAAAAGAACTGTATACAGGCATTATTTGAACGTGTCAAGACACATTGCAAAAACTCAGTCTTCTGGACAATAGGAGATAATAAAAATATCTCTTGACCGTCTTCAAGAGAAATGGGTATTCTTACAACTTGTTCAAAATATATCCACAGTCAAATCAAACAAGTAACAAAATCCATTCCAGGAAACCACAAAAAAACTCATTCTATTATATAGGAAGAATATTGTTGTAATCACTGCTGGAATACTCAGGCCGTTCGGTACAGATCTCGTACACAGATCAAACAATCAAAAGATCACCACCATATACAAGACAGATTATATAAACTGCGAAGAACACTATTTTATTCAAGGTGGACGTTGTCTTTAACTCCTCATCCAAGAACATAAACTAGCCGTTAGAAGACATAACACTTATTTCTTCATATCAGTACATATTGAAAACCACGAATACGACACCAACTGTGAAGGCGTAGAAATTTAAAACGGTGGAAGTATTAAAAAAAAATACCAGGGAATTCCTCTACCTTTACAACATCAACCTTTATTGTTATTGTATTTCTTATATTTATAATCCTATCAATTTTTTGTTTTTATTTATTTATTTTTCATAATTGTGAACATCGTTTAAGCTGTGTCACCACTGTTATTCTTGTATTTCTCCTCACTATACTAAATCAGCAGAACATTAGATTCAATACTCTATAGTAACATGCTAAAATTTTCAAACTGAATCGACAATACTGTTTGAAACAAACTCACTGTTATTATTATTACTATTATTATTATTATTATTTAAAGATCTCAATTCGTGCTTCGAATATTTTTGATTTTATATCGTAAGCGTTGACAAATTTCTCTGGTTACCTTTGTTTTAATTTTTAATTTTATTTATATTTTAAGTAAATCAGATGCAAGGTGTTGTGACAAATGCTGAGAATTCCATCCTGTATTATAAGTACTGTTTTTGGAATAAAGTAAAATAAATTATTAAATTATTGTTATTATTTGATGATATTAGATGGTTAGCGGAAATCGGCCACAGGAAGCCCTACCTGACGTAGGTTTCGAGCTAGTTGACACTCACTAGTCAGTCAGCAAGGCAGGCGTATCTGCAACCTTGAAGGAACAGCTCATGTCTCTTCTGAGGTTTGAACCCGTACTAACCAGTGTTGCAATTAGAAATGTTACCAGTGGGATATTCGAGCACTTTGCATTAGTTTAGGCTTACTAGTTCGAATGTCTGTTGCCTCATTTATACGTCCGTAGTAGACGAATAGAGAGTCCATCGGTGGGATGCGATGAATCACCTTGAATGCTTTCGCTTTCTCCACTAAATGTTGCACAAATGGGATACGCATGACTTTTGTCTGTCCATTGTCAAACCACAAATTTATTGTTCATAATCATATCAATTGTTCGAAAATTCATCCAATAAATAATACTCCTTCTGTGACTGTGTTACATCTAATAAACAAACTGATGTGTAATTGCTTATTACCACAGTGCCCAAGTTTTACACATATATTAGTAAATCGCATGGTTAAACGAAACGCCTACATCTATATAAATGACATGTGCAAAAATAACACACACACACACACACACACGAAAATGCAAACCACATGAATCCGATGATAACACTTTAGAACACTGTAAATTATCCAACGAAAAAGTTTATTCAAGCAGTTTACGTAACATAGTTGGACATAAAACAAAAATGTTTTCGTTTTCTCCCAACTAGTTCAGAAAACGCAGAATTGGTTCAAACAGACTTGATCCATTACCGTCTATATAAATAAAAGAAATGAATTGATTAGGTGAATATATCATATTAGTTTCACCTACTTACCTTTTCCGAATTCTGTTTCTTATCCGGCTCATCACTCTACCAAAACGAATCCGAATCCGATTAAATGCCACGATCAAACCGAGTGACGATAAGATATGAAGAATCCATATCCACCAAACCACAGACTGTGTGTACATTAATGGCATTTTGAAAAAATGATTCATTCTGCATCGCATTCGTATTTATAATTTACTTTTTGATGAGCATAGCTCACATCACGAGGTCATAGTTGTTTGAAGTAAAATTAACCAATAATAAAAAGTGGGCAGTATAGTGATCACAATTCACATCTATTCAAGTCGTTATTGATTTGTCTGACTTCTGTGTTTTCAGTGATTTGGTGGTTGGTTGGAGGCAGTGAGCAAAACGAATTTCACGCTGTATCGGTTAAGCATTATCACACCAACGAATAATTTAGCATGTTGTAATTCATCTGAATACCAAATACTAACTAGTTAGGAAACGAAAAATCCGGATGACTAGCTACTGATGACCACAATCACTAACTGATGTTCAATTTGAAAACCTATTTGCCTAGACAAGCGACCTAACGTTTTCGTCCAAGTAATAGCTAGAAATATTTAAAGTAACTTAATCGATTCCTGCTACCAGTTTAAGAAGAGCAAACATCCCGCCAACAGTCTACTTAGAAAGAGACAGCTAGAGGCATTACGTGACCTCAAAAAGAAACGAAATCTGATAATAACTAGACCTGCTAAACGATCTGGTACAGTTATCATAAGAGTGATTATTTAGACAAAATGAATATCATTCT